TACTATATATATATATATATATATATATATATATATATACATATATTATAATATATATACATATACGTGTATTCTTTCGAATCCCCACGACCGGTACTCCAGAGAGATGATGGTCCTATTCTCTCGATGGATACAGGTCGGACTGCAGCGGCGACACCCTCCAACGCCATTGGCAAATATACAAATAATCCTTCTGGAGCACGACAGGAGAGATTGCATCAAGCATGGCTCGAGCCCCGAATAAGAAGGGAGGGTATGGTCTTGTTGGTATAGGTACCGATACAAATTCCGCCAACCTCATATGCCTAGAATGCAAATCCCGGTATAACCTCAATTATGATCCATCACAATTTACAGCTATCTTAAGGCATTACATTAATGTTGGGACTACTCAGAAAGAAAGGCTCTGCAATTTTTGCGGTACTAAATTAGCTCTCTGGCGTGAGGTAACGGACTGCGGTCCCTGCTCCGAAACATTTGTGGCATTTAGAATACTTACGCGAAGAAAATACTTCTTTTTATGCACTGCCAAATCCTATCATTATTGACATAGATGCAGAGATAGGACTGCATGATATTATTTTCTCTAAGAGACTATCGGCCTTTTTACATGATATACACGCTTGCAATTCACATCAATAATTGAGTCAAATTTAGCTGTAAAAACCAACAGCCCAGCGCGAGCAGATTCGCCTCACGCGTAGCACGTCTCGCCTGCGACGTAACAACAAATTGGTGACAGCGGTGGGATAGATACATTTTTGGATATTCCATCACGCCGCTTATCGAACCCGGTAGACCGCTCCCGTCGGTTCGATTGAATTTCGTATCCGAATGAGTCGTAACACTATTATAAATCGGACGATAATCGTCATCGTTAGCATTTCCTCTTTCGGAAGAGGAGCTAGAGTGCATTTGCGTCGCGCAGGAAGAAACCAGCGTTAAATTACAAGCCGATTCAGAGGCTCTGGTTCGCGAGCGAGCAGAATGCCAAGCGGAACTCCGCGCATTGCGTAAAGAGAGGTGCGAAGCCGAGAATAGTAACACGATGCTCCGCGAAATGATGGGAGCTCTTACCATTTTACGAGGCGATCTAAATTCATTACGACGAGAAGTAGATACACGCCGTGAACTTGCAGAATGTCCGTCGGGGCAACGTTTTTCAGAACTGCCCGTATTGATAAGCGAACTGAATGATTCGATATCTGAGCTTCCGCCTGCTCCTAAAATTACGTACCGAGAGGCGACCGAATTTGTACCATATTTCGATGGATATAATATTCCCCTTTCGAAATTCTTAAGCGCATGCCGTCAAGCCTGCGATATACTTCCTGCTAGTTACGAAAAATCGCTGACGCGTCTTTTGATAGCAAAACTTCGCGGCTGAGCGCATTCGGCAGTAGCAGACGAGGCGTGCGATTCAGTAACTCAATTATCCGATCTTTTGGTAGGAACGTTTGGGTCATTTAAAACAGTCGCGCAGTACAGAGGAGAATTAACCGTGATACACTTGAGAGCTCGTGAACATATTCTCGATTACATAGACCACGTCAAAGAATTACGTGCGGCCGAGACGGAGAATGTCGTGCTCGGGGCTTTCTCGATAATCAGACAACAAGGGACATTGATGACCTCACCGCTCAGAGTTTTTGTGAGGGACTCCCAACGGTATACAGATTACAACTCAAACCCGAGCATTACCATTGTCCGTCCGATGCTTTTGCCGCCGCCAAGGCAATCGCCAAGAGGGAAGAATTAGAAAAACAACGATATGGTAATCGGCCGGACGGAAGGCTCGGTAGCACTCGCTTATCGCCGATACCGCGACAAACATTCGAACACTACACTTCCCATTTAGAAAAACGATATGATAACCAACCGGACAGATTAGCGCCCGCATATCTCCGATACCACGACAAACATCCGGGCACCACACTTCCCGTACACAGCAAGATAACATGCAACGATACCCGGACCCACCGCGTCGCGGAGAAAACAATTCCAGAAGGGCGTATGCGGATACACCGCCCGTGATATCACAATCTAATACAAACAATTCCTACATAGCCGCGCCGCCCGTCCGATGTATGCCGATAGGGCTGGCTCGTTTCAGCGAAGCAATGAGAACTCGCGCGTCGTTGAAAATCAACGACAAACTAAATGATGCAGATACTGCAAAAACCCGGGGCATGAAATTGACGAATGTAGAAAAAGGCAATACTATAACGAGCGCCAGTCGGGAAACGCGAACGATTCGCCCCGCAGACAGGACGCGGCGAGGGCGGATCAGCCGCGACCAACGCGTCCAATAAACTTAATAAATCCGACGGAAAACACAACAAGCGCGAACAATCAAAAATCAGAATAGCCACTTTAAATCCTAACGAATTCAGTCATGCGCCAACGGTAAGCATATCTATCGATGGGTTGTTACTCCGCGTAAGATTTATGATAGACACCGGGGCCGCCCCCAATTTAATAAAGAAACGTAATGTACAGGGTGAGACAGAAGTAATCAAACATGACCTGCTGTTCCTTAGTGGCATAACAGAAGATACTATTCCCATTTTGGGGTCAATCAATACAACATTTCTCGGAAACAAAATTAAATTACATCTTGTGCCGAACGACTTTCCAATAAAACAGGAAGGGATCCTAGGATCCGAATTCCTACGCGATAACGCCACGATAGATTTCGCAAAGAAAGTCGTAATATGGCAAGGGATCCCCTTGTCCTTTTCGCAACACGAATCGATAGTAATCCCAGCGCGATCCCGCGCTGCTTTCTATGTGAACATATTAAATCATGATATGCAAATAGGTTATGTCCCTCGCATCGCGACAGAACCAGAAATATATATAGGCGAGACAATTGTTACGAATCGTTGTGGCAGAGCCTACCTCCATGCGATTAATACGGGAAACACAGACCGCGAAGTGCCGATCCCTACAATCGAGTTACAAGCCATCGAATTATTGTCTAACAAACGCGCGGAGGAAGCTAGACCCACCGCGCGGCGCTCCCAAATCAATTCAGTAGAAGCCACGAATTTTACGATAGAATTGCCAATATCGAGAAACTACTCCGCTTAGAACATTTGAACGAATTTGAAGCAAGCCATGTCAAAAGTCTAATAAAAAACAACGTAGATCTTTTCCAAGTGCCAGGAGACTCTTTAGATCACACAGACGTATGTTCGCACCGCATAGTTACCCGCGACGAACAACCGATAAACACTAAGCAGTATCGCTATCCCCCTATCCATAAGAAAGAAATTACGCGACAAGTCGATAAACTGTTGGCAAATGATGTGATTACACTTTCAAAATCTCCTTACAATTCTCCCTTGTGGATAGTGCCCAAGAAACCAGACTCCAAAGGCAATAAACAATAGAGGATGGTTATCGATTTCAGAGCGTTAAATGAAAAAACTATAGGGGACGCGTACCCCCTGCCTAATATTGAAGAAATACTAGATCAATTAGGCAGCGCTAAGTATTTTAGTATATTTGACTTGGCGTCCGGTTTCCATCAGATTCCCATGCACGAGGCCGACACACCGAAAACAGCCTTTTCTACGCCCTATGGGCACTATCATTTCAAACGAATGCCGTTTGGATTAAAAAACGCTCTCGCGACTTTCCAAAGGCTTATGGATCAAGTGCTGACTGGACTCCAAGGAGTAGAATTATTCATTTATTTCAACGACATCGTAATATATGCTAGTTCCCTGAAGGAACACGAAGCTAAATTTAATAAGTTGGCGAATAGACTGCGAACGGCGAGACTGCGATTACAGTCAGACAAGTGTGAATTCTTACGGAAGGAGGTGACATATCTTGGACATGTAATCACAAAGGACGGGGTACGTCCTGACCCCGAGAAAATAAAGGCGGTAGAAAGATTTCCGCGACCCGCCAACGTTAAAAACATTAAACAATTTCTGGACCTTGCTGGCTATTACAGGCGATTTATCCCTGACTTTTCTAAGATAGCGAAACCACTCACTCAATTGTTGAAGAAAGACACCTTTTCAATGGCTGGAGTCGCAGGAACGCGCTTTTGATTGTCTAAAAACAGCTCTGTGTACCGAACCGCTGTTACAATACCTTGATTTCACGCGCCCGTTCATTGTCACGACCGATGCTTCCAAAAGCGCTATAGAAGGCATACTCAGTCAAGGCGAAATAGGAAAAGATCTACCTATAGCCTATGTATCGCGAATACTGAATACCGCCGAACAGAATTATTCAACTATCGAGAAGGAGTTGCTGGCAATAGTATACTGCGTAAATCATTTCCGCCCTTACTTATATACGGGCAAAAGTTTAAACTAGTCACTGATTATAAACCATTGACTTGGCTTCATTCGGTAAAAGATCCGAACCTCGCGTTTGATGGCATCTTAAGTTAGCTGAATATGAATATGAGGTAATCTATAAAGTAGGAAAGATAAATAGCAACGCTGATGCGCTCTCCCGTAACCCGATTCTCCCAGTCCGACCGCAGAAACATGCGACCCCGCTCAACGACGATTCAGACGAATCCCTTTTCAGTAACATAAATAAGGATAACTCTCAAGAGCCGAGCGGATCACATGCCGACATTCCACTGAGCGATAAGGAAAGCACGGAACTAGATTCAGACAATGACGACCATGACGAGACAGGCTCCGACGACGACTCTGAAAACGAACCGCTGGTAGACAGAGTCAACACCCCCTTCGAACTTAAGAGACGATTTCTAAACGAAACAAACGAACGATTGTCACGGAGAAAAGATAATTTGGCGATATTCGTTTCACAAACCGGTGACAAGGGAGCACTCGATCTAAAGGAAAATAACAGATATTCCTCCATGGATGAATTATCGATAGGAAAAATAAAAGTAATACGTGATAAAAAACGTTACATAATCGCCATGGTAATTGAACAAGGTAGGGGAACTTCTTCGCTAATAGAGATGCAAGCCCTCCGAACTGCAATAGGCTCGTTAGTCAACGCAACTCGAGAATTAGACTTAGCGACATTATCAATCTGTAAAAGTAGTATAGGCACGATAGAATGGAAAACAATATATAGAATGCTCAGGGATATTTTCTGGAACGAAGAGACAAAAATCACAATTTGCAATAACTTAACCAGTATACCTAATAACGAAAACCGCGACGAGATAATTAAAGAGTGCCACGCCTCTGCAATGGGCGGACACAAAGGCATAACTAAAACATATAATCAACTAAAAACGCGATATCACTGGCCCGGCATGAAACGGGATATACAGAATGTAATAAACAATTGTCGGGAATGCCACATAAAGAAACTAGTCCGAATAAAACCGAGACAACCGATGATCCTAACGGATACACCCGATAGGGCATTTGATAAAGTTTCTATGGATATTATGGGACCGTTACCGACAACCTCCGCCGGAAACGCTTATATTCTAACTATTCAAGATCTGTTGACAAAATATTCAATAGTTGTTCCTTTAAGAAACCCCGCAGCAATCGACATAGCCGAAGCATTTACTAACGAGTTCATATGTATTCATGGCGCCCCGAAAGCTCTACTGACAGTCCAAGGGACACATTTCCTTAATCTAATGCGAAATATTGCACGGAAATTCCGAATAAAACATTATAAAACCGCAGCGTACCGACCGCAATCGAACGGCTCCATCGAGCGATCCCATGAAGTTCTATGGGAATACTTAAAACAATTTGTAAATAAACACAGCGACTGGGATTGTCATCTTAGGCTAGCAAACTTCTCATATAACACCAGCGTACACGAAGGGACATTATTCACTCCCCATGAGTTAGTTATGGTAGGTTAGCGAGAACCCCTACTAGCGAACCGGCGCCAGATGACAATGAAAACGAAAGCTATACGCGTTACCTAACAGAATTATATAATAAAATTTCCGAGGCTCAGGCAATGGCCAGACGTAATTTAATAAATGCTAAAATAAAATCTAAGAAATATTATGACAAGCGAGCATTGCAGAGAAACTTTTGTAGAGACGATCAAGTATATTTACTTAACGAGCCAAGGAAGAATAAACTGTCCGACCAGTATTCTGGTCCGCATAAGATATTAGAGATTTTCAAAAATAATAACGTAAGAATTGCGTTAAAGTCAGGAAAAACGCGCGTTGTACACATAGATAAGTTAAAGCGACCGGGGAATCGGAGCCCCACAGCTGATTCCCCATCAGACGGCACTTCGAGGAGTAAGGAGTGTGCTGCTCTAGTTACCGATGGACCCCAGACAAATCAACATGTCGATAATCGTTACTATCGCCTGCATCCTCTTACCAGCAACGGTTTACGGCCTCACGGGATATGACTGTGGCGGAACAGAACTCAACATTACCACTCTCTCCCTCCTTGACGTAGGAGACTGCGACGTGGAAGATATCGAACCAGTCAAAACGTCCGTTCACATACAACTACTCCAGACAGCCAAATACGAGACAATGCATACTAATGCAAGATTAAGATCGAACAATATATTACTGCGGAATGCACTCACATGTCTCAATAATGACCGAGAGTCGAAAACAATATGTAAAGGAAATTGGAGCATACAACTGCCAGAAGATATACGAAACCGGATCCTTGGCCATTAGCACCGCTTTCGTTGACCGGCTAATAAATAATGCCACCAACCATCGCAGCGTAATATTGGCAGGACAAGCCTTCACTGATGGTCGTTGCGCAGGCACGCAATATACGGATGGCTACGGAACTTGGGAGAACGTTGTGATGCAAGCCGCCGTTGAAATAACTCTACACACGTTCACGATGCCTTTTAAAAGATCGATAAGTAAAGTAAATCTGCCTTCAGGAACCTAGTGTCCATCAGCGCAAGGAGGCTGCAATGACTGGAACGGCACGGAGACATTTTGGAATCTCCCCTACACAGACGGTTGCCATTTCAACAAATATGATATTTTGTAGGAGGGTACAGCAACGAAATTATCACCAAAGAAATACGAGCAAGCATTCGAAGTATACAGTGACCACCAAGGATACTACCTTCGCATTAGCTAAAACTACAGAGACAAATCTTTGCAGATACAAGTTATACCACACGGAACACTCCAAACTTCTCATTTTCGAGACGCAGCCTGGAAGATCCTTCCAGTCTAAAACTAACCTCTGTAGACAATCTAGATATCTTCTCATATGTTAACTCCAAGTTTGTATACGTAGAGAAGCATATTAAAACACAACTAACACGATACAAGGATATAATGGAACAGAAATGTGTCCTAAAGAAACAAATCCTGCAAAACGCCCTCTCACTATCCAGCATCGCTCCAGACGAAATGGCATTCAGAATCATGAAAATACCGGGATACACTGTAGTCACTGCCAGCGAAGTTATTCATATAATAAAATGCATACCGGTGGATTGTAAACTATGACGCACCGACAATTGCTACAATGAACTCCCAGTGACTTATCGAAATCACTCGCTATACTTACAACCAAGATCTCGTATCCTCTCGAAGACGGGCACACCCAAAGATTGCAACGAGCTGCTACCCAATCTCTACAAGATTGATACCACCAGAAAACCTGGTAGATTGACAGATAATATAACAGAATTGCTACCCCCACCAACCATACAACCACTCACCAAACCTTCATGGAAATATGTGAGCCCTGATGCATTAGCCACCAGCGGGATCTACACATCTGAAGACCTGGATCGACTCAGGGATCATATTATGTTTCCTGTAGAGAAACACTCGATGCTTAATACAATTGCGCGTGGCGCAATGGGCCGAGAAATACCCAAGGGATCTGTAGCAATGCTTAACCCCTTGGATGAAGTCTCACTAGACCATATCACAGAGAACGCAGGCAGAAAACTTTGGGATGGTTTTATCACGTTTGGATCGGCAAGCGCTGGCGTCTTGGCATTATTCATAATTGGCAGAACTATTAAACTGTTAGTGGACACAATAATCCATGGTTATGCTCTACACTCGATCTATGGCTGGAGTATCCATTTAATCGGAGTTATCTGGTCATCGGTAACTCACCTCCTATTATTCCTGGGAAAATCCAGTAAGACTAAGGTAACGAACGAGGAAGAAAGACGGCAAGAAGAAGCATCAGCGCCGACCCCTCAAGAAAAGGATAGTGAAGTGAAAACAGTGCCGAAACAATCGTACACAGAATTGCGAAAATATCTCCACGAAAACGAATGAATGTAAGAAATACTAAGTTAAGCGTTATATAAAGTAATGTAAAAATTGTATCTCCTAAATCTTGAGTATCTTAACTAGTATTTGATCATTTATGATATATACTTTTATACCTTTTGTACTTAGGGTTAAGATGAGAAATGTCGGACGAGTGCCCTCCATTTCTATTATAAGGGGGGGGGGTGTCACGTCGGAATAAGTACATTAACTAACAATTTTGTTTTTCTACCTCAAAATCATTATTTTTCTCTGTAACATGGAATAAAGCCGATGTGGTACGCCCCTTACCACCAATTCTGTAGCCTCCCACGCGAGTGCCGCACCCCCACCACCAGCGCCTTCCACATAGAGACACACCCCAGCATAGCGTCGCCGCAGTTTCGAGCCGCCGAATCGAAGCACTTCAGTGCACGGTCGACTGTAGGCAGTTCATCTCGCGAATCCAACTGGAGAAGACCTCCAGTCCGTGAACTCCCTCTTCTAATTCTAGTATTAAGAAAGTTCGATTCCAATTCTAGTATTAAGAAATAACACGAATCCAATCTCAAATCAATTCCAATTCTATCGTAGTGCTAGTGAATCTAACGTCACTCAGTTTAAATTCAAGCTGTTATAAATCTAATTTTAAACGTGTTTTACAATTTAATCAATCTTTGTATCAATTAATTTTGTATTTGAATACCTTAAAATATATAAGTAAAAAATGATCGATGTGTGTCAAACAATTAATAAATCCTAATTCTTCATCCATACTAGCGAAACGAACGATCGACAGAGTTCACGAGGTAGAGTGACCACGCGTAAATTAACCAAATAATAAGCGACCCGGGAAGCCGTACTTTCTCTCTTGGCTAGCAAGTTGTGCGTCCACCCGCACTACTCCCCAAGAGAGGTATCGCTTCTCACGCATTTTAATTCGCCAAATTATAAGATATCTGACAACCTGTCCCGCCTCTTGGCTAGCAAGTTGCATCCACCCGCACTACTCCCTACAGAGGGCTACAGGTTCTCATCGTGATAGAAAGCTTAATCTTTTATTCGTAATTTGTAAGGGAAGTAACATCTCCCTTCATGGTCACTCTTGATGCCGAATAAACGCAAAAACCGCGCCGGACGTCAGCGTGCGATTCGTCGAATTCTATATGAAATTAAATCCGCGCTCACTGGTGATTTGAGTGAATTGCTTGGGTGCGAAGAAATCTACCAATCAGAATATGAAGGACATTTCAAAAATAGCCTGTGGGCTCCAAGTCCCCCGAATCCAGCAACGTCACCTCCAGACGCCCCGCATCCTAGTGTGCATCCCGAGACCCGCCAGGCCGACAACGAGAATTAAAAGCCCGAATCCAGGAACCGGGCCAACGAAAGGTAGGTGAATTCCAATTTCTATCTGTGAATTGCGTTATGTGCAGAGGACAATCGGAAAGCTCACGTCAAAGGAAAACACATTCAGCCGTCTTTAATCATTAAATAAGTATCTCTCGATGTGTAGTCGAATTCGGGTATGGTCTTGTTGGCATAGCTACCGATACAAATTCCGCCAATCTCATATGCCTAGAGTGCAAATCCCGGTATAATCTTAATTATGATCCATCACAATTTACAGCTATCTTAAGGCATTACATTAATGTTGGGACTACTTAGAAAGAAAGGCTCTGCAATTTTTGCGGTACTAAATTAGCTCTCTGGCGTGAGGTAACGGACTGCGGTCCCTGCTTCGAAGCATTTGTGGCATTTAGAATACTTACGCGAAGAAAATACTTCTTTTTATGCACTGCCAAATCCTACGTCATTGATATAGATGCAGAGATAGGACTGCATGATATTGTTACGTCACGGGCGGCGACGGTCCGCGGGAGCGGTACGCAGCGTAGCACCGAACAAGGGGGACACGTCTGCCGGTTGGCAACGCTGCCAGAGATCGAGCGGTAAATCGCCAGCGAATCAGTCGAACTGGGGGAGGTATCGCGTACTCCGATCGTCTCTATTCTTCGCGTTGAAATAGCGAGAGAGAAAAATTTAATAGACGTCGCGAAATAATGACGTCAGATGCAGGATTTGACTCGTCGATGTAAAAACGTCCCTCGACGTTTTCGATAGTTTCTCCCTCTTCCCCGAGCACGTGCTGGGCAGCTATGTATATCTCAGAGCATTCGTCGCAATGCTCTATCTCACGGATAATTGAAAGAGGGGCGCGACAGCACTCGCAGAAATCTAAGGGTTTGGTATATCCGAATTTAAATGAATGCGACAGGGTGAGACGGTAAGTGAGCGTGCCCTCGGGTATCAATTCTTTGCACTGATAACAAAGGACTTCCGCGCTATTAGGAAAACTGCTGGCGGCTGAGTTGTTCACGCGACGATAACCGAAAGCAGTGATGCAGCGTACTAAACTGACGCGATGTCTGAAGACCGCGCTCGGATGAGCGTGCAAATTGCGTACGGTATTAAATCGAGGAAGGCACATCACGGCGATTAATTAGTAATTTCGGTAAATGCGAGGCGCGTTCGTGCATGTTGTTAGATAATATTTCAGAATATTTTCTGGATTGAGAAATCTGAAACGAACACTGGAAAAGAGCATTCCTCGAGTGAAATCGTCGTACGTGCAAAAACTGTACCCAAAAAACAAAGAGTCAGTCGTAAAACCCTTCCGGCCGAGTCGCTTTTCTTATTTTTTGTGCGATAGAGGGTCACGTTTGCTTACGCAACGAATTCCTTTGTTGAGAAGAAGCGTTGCAGCGGAATATGCACGTGGCATGCAATTTTAATATATCGTTTAATGGAATTATCGCGGGTATGCGCGGCGAGCCTTCTTACACATGGGTCAGCGGAAATTGCATTTAGTTTATCAAATCGGTTTACCTACCGTGACTTAAGATGATCGATGTAGATATTCCTCGAGTGAGATCCGAGGTCGGAATTGAAGATCGCACGTCGAGGAGGCGGGTGCTGGCGGGGCTGGCCGTCCACTCCAGAGCTTATCATGCACTAGGAGTTCGTACTCTCCGTCAAATTCTGCTTCCCTGCCAATTATCTTGTTGTAATTGTAGATGGTTGCCACGTGGAGATCGTATTCGAGATGCCGGATAAAGGTCTTGCGACCGCCGCGATTTTTCCTGCCTTT